GCCTAACTTTTCCTTTTCAGATTGTTAAACTATTTTGAGAATTGTTTAATTTTCCCTTCAGATTTTGAAATGACATAATGATTGATAGTTGAAGTAATGTAATTATGTTATCATGCCATAGTCTTTTGATTTAATATGTAATGAAGTAAACGTAAAGTAATCCTAAAATTGAAGACACTGCAATTTTGCAGATTACAGATTGATCAAAATCACAACTGTGAATTTTATACCTTAGCTGGATCTCTTATGATCCTGAGTTGAAAATTTATTTTTGACTAGTGATTGCCTTAAAGTAAATCTTTAAACTGCAAGCTGGTTTTGATTTTATAGTTTGATAAAGGAGATTAACTAATGGTTAATTGTTAAAACATATTATTTTAAAATAGATGTTTTTGCTATTATTTTTATTGCATCTGTGTTTTATGTGTGTTCATTATTGTGCTTTTGACAAAAGATGATCCAAACATTGATGAGAGATGATTTTTCTATTATGATTGTCTGTATCAATCATTGTGATTGAATGTTTCGATCTTATTCTATTTTGTGATTGTTATTGATGTATTTGATGTTGTGTAAGACCACACTCAAATCTGAAGACGCCTATTGATTTAAGTATTGACCAAATTATTATTAGATTAATGTTTTAAGGTTATCATAAATGATAAAAAGAGAGAATCTGTTAGAGAATAATTCTGTCTTACTCCTAAGATATTTAACCTTTCTGCCTGTTGACATTTATGACCAACCCTGACTCTGTTATCTGTCTTAAGGAATGGGAAGCCTCAGCTATAATGTTGATATTAGTTTTATGACCGGTCAACTCTTGGTCACAGAGCCTAAGAGTCAGACAAGTGATTGAGTGTCTCCAGATGTTGGGGCTATCTCCAGTGTTCCCAGAACTCTCTGTAAACTAGTTAAAAGGGCTATCGAGAGAGAGGCGCTGCAGAATTGATGTGGCAACCCACCCGTGCAGTCAGAACCTCTGGCTGCTGTGACTTGTGATGTGCCGATACTTGTAATAAACCACCAGTGTATGACATCAAAGCTCCAACTCTCCTCGTGTCTCTCTGAGTCCTGACTCTCCATTGCTGCAGAAGTTTCCCTTACACACACCGTCTTTAACCCTCACTTAATGACGCTGCACTACTATTATTAGGGAATGTTTAAGTGACCAACAGATATTAGAAGATTGTAACACTAACATCAGAAAACGACAGGACGTGCCTTGGACCCACCCCCGTCAACGCTAAGCCAATAGGAAAGGCTACAGATGATAATATGGGAAGCCAACAGTCTTTCTCTTTCCCCAGCCGCCCATCAAGGAGACGGGACGGGAAGAGCATACTCGGGCCGAGTCACCAATTTTGCAATTTCACTGTACCATTGTTTAATTAAACGCTGTTACCTTATAAATAAGCTTCTTGGACTATTTTCGGCTAATCCTGGGATCAGGGCTAAAATACCCTACAAACTGCAGCATGTGTTAATTGTAAAAAGGTTTGACATGACAAGTTAGGGCTCTGTGATTAATATGCAAGTAGGTCATGTGACGGACAAATTAATAGTTAATCCTCAGTGTTTGATGTCACACTGTCAGGTGCTAAAGCAGAGGATGATTCTGGACCGAGACCTACAGAGAAAATCTCTCAGTAAATTGGCAGACATGATGGCAATGATAATATAGAGAGCATAATTTTAGGTTTGCATTACGTTTGTTTTAGTTATATTTTAGTTCAGTTTCTGTATCAATATTGTTCTTGATATGACAAAACTGGCGATTGTGACAAATTCTATTTAATCAATTGTCTGCACGTACAAAACATTCTTGCATGAGCAAATTGGAAATAATCTGACAGCATGTTAGCAGCCACTTACCGATCCAAAACGGCTTCCTCCCTGCAAACTTCCATAGCCAGGTCATGTCTCTTCTGGAATTCAGGCCGGTCAGGCTACTGTTGAACCTGACACACAAATATTCCAAGTTCCAAAAACACATTAAAAGATGTATTTACAACTAAAGTGAACTGAAACGTGTGCAGGTCCTTAAACTCAGACTGAAACTGTACACACAACAAGCATTATGACAAATTAAACACTGTTCCACCCAGTTGGGCACATTTTTATTTAATTCGCCCATTATAATGTTTCATATAAATTAAATTAAATGTAAATTAAAATGTTTCCTCTATTCAAGTTATTTGGTAGCAACTGTTAGGGAAACATGGTAAAAATCACATCTGATGAATACAGTGAAAATGTTAATGTAAAATAGGTCATTTTTTGCCAATAAGGTTGTCAGAGTTTTGTGCCATGGTGAAGTTGCAAGGGATCATGATGATGTATTTAGAAGCTGGGTCTTATTTCAATTTCGAGAAGAAAACATGGTAAAACGCTGTACCAAAAAAAATCTACATTTATTCACATCTATAAAAATAAGGATAAGAGGAAAACATTTCTGAATTATCCTCAAGTATTAAATCCAATAAGAAACATTCAAACCTGAGGTTATGATTTGAATAAAGAGATAAAGTCAGAATTAAAAAAAAGTGGAGTGTTTTGGTGTTATTTACAGCATTGAGCAGCTCCTCTCTGCGCTGGCCCAGCTGGCCACAGACGAGCTGACGCTGTAACAGCGCCTCCTGTAGTGAGTCCAGCCTTCAGCACACCAGCTGCTCACTGACTTCCCCGTCTGAGAGAACCATCACAACAGAAACTTTCAAAAACTCAGCCTGGAGAGGAACAGTTATTATGACTTTACTGAAGCTGCATGACAGTTTTATTTTGGTTTTCTGCCTCCACAGTTTAATAGTATTAATATATATTTACTTTCAAGTACAGAAGTATTAGCATTGAAATATGCTAAAAGCTAGGGTGGGTAGTGTGTTTAAAAAACGTTTTTGTTATATTTATTGAAAGACTCTTTACTGCTTATAATGACTAAATTGTAATGAAAATGAAAGGAAAAAGAAGACTCTACGGCTGCTACAAGACTGTAATCAATTCTCCTAACTAGCTTTTAAAGTTTTGACGAGCAGATTTTGGTTTATTCTTGCTTGCTCTTCCAATTTGTCGATTTGGAATTAGAATGATCGATGCATTCATGTGTTTATCATCACTAATGTTGTGCAGCCAGAGCTTATTTAATAACTTCATGTGCTGCTTCACAAGGAAAAATGCAACTGAACTGTTTGTTTATACCTTGCGCTGACGTAGCTTTGGGTTGTGTCTGGGTTCTGGATGATCCATCTGAGGAGGATCCTGCAGGGGGGGACTGTCAGGGGACCAGCTCCTCCCAGCATCGCCCGGCTTCAGCTCCTCCAGCCGGAGAGGAGTCAGACTGTGGAACTGATGGAGGGGAAGAAATAAAAAAATGTTTATCAATTCACAGCACTATTTTTATTTAACTGTGGAATAACTGAGTCTTACCGTCCAGACCTTCTCCTCAGACCTCCTCCCTCCTGACAGCTGGACCTGAACATCAGCAGAAGGGTAAAACGGACCAAAATAATAATAATAAATAATAACAATTATGTAACTTTTTATCTTTTTTTTAGCATATTGTTTATTATATTATAACTTAGTACTTTTTTAGCATATTGTTTATTATATTATAACTTAGTACTTTTTTAACGCATGTAAGATATGCAACACTAAGCTGTCTGTGGCTCTTTCCTGCTGTAACGCTGCAAATTTCCCCTATGTGGGACGAATAAAGGTATTCTGATTCTGAAAAGGACCAGCCTTGTACGGGAGATTCACCAATAACACCAATAAGTATATTTAAACAACTCAACATCCATACCAAATCTCTTCATTTCAGAATAAGGTCTTGTCTCATATAGCATATGAGACAGCCTGATTATAAGATACGATTTTAATTACGTGAAATCTTCCTTTAAATAGTATAAAAGTAGGATAATAGGCAGCAAAGCTGGAGGAATCCTCACCTTCAATCCTCCATGCATGACCCTGGGTACAGAGCTCCCGGAGCTCCCAGTGCTGGGGGAGGATCTATGGCTGTGGGGGGCTGCCTGATCTTTTGATTCCCCCTCCCTGTAGTCCAGATAGGGCCGGCGGTTAGGGACGTCTCCTTGAGGTGGGTGGGGCTGGTTCACCCACAGCAGCTCTGCCTCGATGTCTGTGACGCTGTCCTCCTCCTTCACTCTGGGGGGGTCAGGGAGTTGAGCCGGAGGGGGGGCGGTAGGGAGTCGCTCATCCTCCTCCTCCACCATTAGGTCATCAGGATTACACCTTCCTGATACATAGCAGAGAGGGTACTCTTTATCTTTTACTGGCCAAACTTTCTCTAAACTACCAAACACATCTGTAATAATCTCTGACATAAATCTTAGATTATACATTTAGTGCACAAGAGATAAATCTCATCATAGTTATAAAACATCCTCATCCCTTTCCTAATCTAAACATAAGGAATTCACATACAAATTACCAAATAATTAACATCAACATTTAGGCGATAAATAGAATTACAAAAAGAGGTAAACTCAAATTAACTTTGCAGAACTTAATACTAATGCAAAACCAAAGGTCTGTGCCTGATAATGCTTCACCTCCTCTGGGGTCGATGATCTTGACACTAGCTGACATCCTCTTTCCCAGGACAGCATTTTTTGCATTTTTCAGGGTGACAGTGAAAGTCTTGTGGTTTTCCTCCAGACCATCGTCTATCGGGTAAATGTTCCAGGTTTTCACACTCACTCCTAAGCAGGAAACAATTTAAGAAAAATCACCATCATACTGATTTTTGTATAGCAGGAACAAGAGCTGCATAATAAATACAAGAATCTGAAAGAGCATCTAAAAGTATCTAAAGTTCTCAATATAATACATTATGCTCATTCAAAGATAATTTTGCCAATCTGAAGCTCTCTGATTAGACGTTACTTACAGCAGTGCTTCTCAAACTTTTTTCAGTAATGTACCCCCTTTGAAAAAATGTCTCAGCCAAGTACCCCCTGACCGACCCCGAACATCTTTGATAGAAAAAGCCTATATAGATAATTACAGTAGAGCGATGTTCCATCAGTGTGTGATTTATTAACTCCTTCATGCATGAATTACACAAACTAAGGATATTTTCATCTTTATGCATGAGAATTTTTTTTTTTTTAAAACAGATTGTTATATGTTGAACAAACCAATGAACAAAATGATATATTATGCAAAAACTATAAAATACAATACACAAATATTATAATAAAATCCACTGTGGTGCGCCTGATCTGCAACTATGCCATCCCAAACCCCATGCATATCAAGAAAACAGCATTTAATTAGCAGTCTCTAATGCAGTGACCACAATGAATGACATTTTTCTTTTTTTAAACGTTGTAACTGAAAATAAATGTGCAATTATAATAAACAAACTATGTAAAAACACTGCACTGACACTAAGGCCACTAAGCTGCTGGTGACCTTATACCGCTCTACCATCGAGAGCCTATTGACATACTGCATCACAGTGAGGTACGCCAGCTGCACTGAGGCCGACAGGATGAGGCTCCAGAGAGTCGTAAAAGCAGCACAGAGGATCATCGGCTGCCCTCTCCCCTCCCTGATGGACATTTACACCTCCCGCTGCCTCAGTAGAGCCAAAAACATTATCAAGGACAGTTCACACCCCGGCTTTCACCTGTTCAACCTGCTGCCCTCCGGCAGGCGCTACAGGTGTATCACATCCAAAACAAACAGACTCAAAGACAGTTTTTTCCCAAGAGCCATCATTGCTCTTAACACCTGAAATCATGTGAATCAATGTGACTCTGTACATATATACATATATATCATTACTATTATTATTATTATAAATACACACCATTATTATTATTATTTATTACAGATTTTATTTTTACACTCCTGGACATAATTACTGCACTTTATTCCTTATTCCTTATTCCAAAGTGTGTATGCTGCGTGTATTTTGTTGTCTTATGTTGTGATGTTTTAGTTTTTGTTTTGATGGCACCCTTGAAAGGGAGAAGCATTTATTATTATCTCATTGTACATGTATAATGACATTAAATGATTCTATTCTATTTAGGAGTTTTAGTCCTCAGATACAGTGTACGGCTTTTTGGCCTTTTAGCGATGAGCAGTGGACACCACATACGATGCCTCCTGTGCTTTGGCTGATGTTTCGGAGGCTTTTTGCATCATCTCTTGCGAGGCATCTGTACTCAGCAAGTTTCTCTGAAAAACTCCGGTTGGCTGACAACATGACACAGGTGTTGGGTGCGAAGATGTCTCTGGAGGTGCGCTGGTTTCATCAAGCTGTTGGGTAGTTTTCTCCCCACAGAAAAAACCACAATTGCCTGGGGCGGGTTGCCGTTTGTTGACGTGAATCCCATCAAAGCATACGCCTCCTGATATTGAACAGCATTTTGTGTGGC